TTGTTGCTGTTGCTGCAACTGTGGGAGCTGCTGCTGTTGCTGTAATTGTGGTAATTGTTGCTGTTGCTGCAACTGTGGGAGCTGCTGCTGTTGCTGCAGTTGTGGGAGTTGTTGCTGTTGTTGCTGCAGCTGTGGCATTTGCTGTTGTTGCAGCTGTGAGAGCTGTTGCTGTTGGAGTGGGAGCTGCTGGTGCTGCTGCTGCAGCTGTGGAAGCTGCTGGTGCTGCTGTTGTTGTAGCTGTGAGAGCTGCTGCTGTTGTTGTAGCTGTGAGAGCTGCTGCTGTTGTTGCATCTGTGGAAGTTGTTGTGGCTGCTGTTGTTGCAGCTGCGGAAGCTGTTGTTGCAGCTGCGGAAGCTGTTGCTGCTGTAGCTGTGAGTGCTGCTGCTGTTGCAGCTGCTGGTGTTGCTGGTGTTGCTGCTGTTGCATTTGTTGCTGCTGTTGCATTTGCTGCTGCTGTTGCATTTGTTGCTGCTGTTGCTGATGGCTAGACAATTGGGGTTTAAACACAACCATATCCTGTTTCCACAGCCTTATCTCAATTAAAATGCAAAGTTGGTGCCAGTTTCAGAAGTATCATAGAGATTTTATTTTGAGCTCGGAATTTGTGTAATAATGTTTTGACTGTTAACTTACATGTCATGAATTTGCAACAACTGAAAAATTCAAATTCAAGTTCAAAAATTCTCACCCCTGGGAAAAGCATTCCTATCAAGCGACAGGCTTTGTCAGAAACCGAAAGCAGCAATGTCTGGGATGGTAGTTGAATAACTGCACACTGCAGGAATCAGAAGTGAAATTGCATGTCAGAATATCCTCTAGGCATGAAGGAGAAAAGCTGCAATTATAAAGGAACACGACTTTTACTCATCCAATGATATATATATTACTCTCTATCTATATTCACTCTAAATGCAGTTGAAATTTCTGGAACTCATACAATAAGCTAAAATCAAGAGCTACACAACAAAACATAGCGAAAGTGAAAGAATGACATATAATTCAACAAAAAGGATTACAATAAACATTCAACTTGAGAAACAATAAGCTATATTGCCTCAAAGAAAAGATTCATAGAAGTAAAAAGGAAGATTCAAAAAACTCACAAGCTTCTTTTCTTGTAGCTGACCAAGAAAACCATGCTGATTCATTGCCCGAAAAACTAGAAAGTCTGCCTTTCCAACATACTGCCTGAAATTAAAAAAAAAGAATATATAAGAAGTAAGAGGATATAAACATTACCAATAGAGAACGTGGGAATTATTCTTTACGTAGAAATTACTTGTTATTCATGTGGTCTTGAGATATAAGGCGGACTATTTGCATGGTTGGTGGCCAATTGGCTGCCAGTCTGAAATAGAAGAAAACAAAATCCTTCAATTATAGAAACCATATTTCCACTTTAACTACATAAGATCCATGGGGTATGCCCACACAAAACTATATAAAGAAAGAAAAAAGGTGATTCAGAAACATAATAAAAGCTGTTATGTTTTTCCTGATATTTCCAAAACTCTTTCTTAGTGGATGAACTAAATTTATACAAAGGATAATTTCCCAAAAACTTTCAAGTTTTCTTCTCTGAAAAAAAAAGAGGGAAATTACTCCTACAAGTCATACTTTAATACGACTGTAGAACATGTTTATCCACTTTGAATAATTTTTTTTAAAAAAAAAAACAGGAAACAAATTATCACCATGGCATTACTTATTAGCCTTTTATCTCGGAAAGATTTAAAAATCATATCTTTTTAACATGTATATATTGAAAAGAATAAGTATATATTTGAGATTAACAAATGCCTATGGTAATCTCTAGATGAATCAAAGCAATTAGAGGTAAAATTAATCAGAAAACTAGAAATATGGATATCACAGATTGAAAAGACTTGGTTCAAAAGTATCATTCAAGCACTGATGGAGATAATACTCCTAGACTTCCCCTTATCTTTGGCAGAAATAAAAAAGGGATTAAATACAGCACAAACTTACGTTTCAGATGCTGAAGCACTTCTATAGCCCTGCACCAATAAAACAAAGAATAAAAATAAGATTGAAACAGTATGCAAATTATTCATAGAAAACCATCACAGATCACATCAATGAAATGAAAATGGGAAGAGAATGCTCATCATAGCTGAATATCATTTCGTAAAGTATTTTCCCACATACTTCTAGTTTGGTGATAAACACAGGCTGCCCTTGTCTCTGTCCAGATAAATTTCCCTGTATGAATTTTAACACTCAGAAAATAATAATGGTTTAGAAACACGTATCTAATAATGAAGAACCAAATACAGGGATTTTATGAAAATCTTGAAGCAATCAATGCATCAGGAGGCAATTTGAGGGGACAGTCATAGTAATGAAAAATCATATAGGACCAGTAATATAAACAAGACCAGATAACCAACATGCATGCATATTTATTTGAATCTTATCACTATCACTACTTTCCAAGATTGCACACTACATTTACCTCCCAGACTTTAACATATTTGGATTGTGCTGCTGTTTGCTGCTGCTGTGATAATGGCATGCTCGCTGCCGAACTATTGTTCACACCAAGTGACTGCATTCCAGATTGTACTGGTTGAGGCATCCCTGGAGTAGGAATCATGGTGCCAGATCCAGAAGAGACAGCTGATGGACCAAGACCACTTATCATATTCTGACTCATTCCCATTCCATTTTGCACTATTTGGCCTCCTGAATGATTTCCTTGGCTCATGCCAGGTACAGATTGACTCATACTGACACCTCCTTGAATAGTACCCATAGGTTGTGAAATCCCAGGATTTGAATTTCCAGACACATTAGATGTTGCAGAAGGAAATGAACTAAGACCTGCATTTTGTGGGACCTGTGAAGTCCCTGTAAGAGTTCCAGAACCAGCAATTGAATTAATACCAGCTTGCCCAGATGAAAATGCATTTTGAGTGGCAGGCACTGAAGAGGCCATCCCACTGGATATCATATTGGACATATGCATGGCCACTGGAGTTTGACCCATTGATTGAAGTCCAATAGAAGATCCGCCAGTAAGGGCAGCAGAATTCATCACCCGTGCCTGAGAAAGATTGTTTAGTATGTTCACATTTGCTGCAGCTGGAGGCACAGGACGCAAGGGCTGTGGCACACCACTGACAGTAGGTTTTACTTCTTGGACATTATCACCACTAGTGATCATCTCTTGAGAAGTAGTCGATGGTGAAGATGTTTGTAAGCTTGGAACTGCCTGAGAGGGGGCACGTGGAACAGATGGAATATGTGGAAAAGCAGATGCACCAACCATGGAAGTCACAGTTGTTGGTTCCTGAACAAATACAATCATGATTCCATGACTATGGTACCCATAATAGTAAATGAAACAACCTTAATTTCCCAAAAGAAGAAGAAGAAGAAATAGTCTAAAAAGACTCAAACTAACGGGTGTGTGTTTCTTACAACTTTAACAGTAGCAGTAGGAACATTTCCAGCAGAAACTGGTTGACGGTTCATGATAGATCCATTCACTAAAAATCAAAAACAATGTTAATCTTCCACCAAGAGGAACATCAAAGATAAATCATAGCCACAACATAACAACTTAAAAAGCCTACATTTAATGACATTTAACTAATCATCTAATGCTAATTTATGAAATTCCAGGTGCAACACACTTCTCTTTTATAAATAAAAATTTCCATCACCAGGATGTACTTTTTGGACTTCCGACAAATTAGCATTATAAAAAGTATCATGTTGCACAACATAGTTACAGTTATGAAACCAATTTCATATTTTAGTAAACAAATTCTGCACTAATCATTAAGCTGTGAGAAGAGATTTGTTCCCATGATTGCTTATTTACTTACTTAAATGCTGAAGAGGGTAGAAAAGGAAAAAAGGTAAACAGCTTCTACAACTATATATCTGAAAACTAGTCTGTTCTTTCAAGCTTATCAGGGTAGAGGTTTCGCATCAAATATGGGAAGAAATTTCCATGCTATTCAATCTAGCGATGTGGTAAATAGGAAAGGGGATGGCAAAATAATTTTGCATGTACACAAGTTATTCAGTCACATGTGACAGTCAGGATTTGGTTAAAAATACCACAAAGTTAGCGGATTCATTCATAAACAACCTGGTGGAATGGAAGTTGGAGGTGGCCCTGCTGCAGCTGAGGTCACAGAAGCTACATCCATCTTCATTGGACTCTGATTTGGAGCCAAACTTGTACCAGGACGACTTAAAGCAGCGCGAGCCTCCAAAAAGTTCTCTGAGATTAGAACAAGAAAATGGGGATTTCTACCATTGTCAATTGGTGGATCTGGTGCTCTGGGATTCCGCTTTCCCTGCACATAAAAGCATAGTTAGAATGCTCAGCTTCCAATTACTGGCTATGGATTTAGAAAAACGTTTAAATAAAAACATAGTGTTGAATAATTTTTTGCTCATTCTAGTAACCAAGTTGATTGTCATTTATTTATTTATTTACACATGCACAATTCAGAAACTGGCCACACTTGCAACAATAATGCTTTCATCCACATCAACAGCATTTTCCCAAGAATTCAATGGTATAACCCTTAAGTTTTCAAGATGATTTAATAGCCAACTGAACATTAAATACTTATTAAACGTTCTAGAGTGATGGATTAAGAACAAAGCCATCTGGATGTGTATCCTTAGAAACAATAAAAGATGAGGTCAACAAAAAAAATTAAGAAATGTCACAATCCTTCTCCTTACCGCATTATAGATTGATCTAAGTTTTGGAAGCTGCTTTGGACATATGACAGATAAAGAGACAGAACACTGCAATGAAAACTAAGGATAAGTTATCTTCCAAATTGACAATGGAAAACTAGAACTAGTAGATAGGAAAGGGAAAAAAAAATAATAATATACATATACATACCTGAGGAAATGATTTAGCTACAGTTTCAGCATCAGATAAACGACTTTCTGTTTGTGCCTCATTATTCTCACCCTGTTCTAGGTTTTGGATTTGTGGTCGATAGACTGGTGTAGGCAATGGATAAGGATTGCTAGCAGCGACAAGAATGCAATGCCTTTGCAAATCAACACTTTGTTGATTTTGACTACCATTTGGAATGATAGGAAACATCTAGGAAAAAGAAGAAGAAGAAAAATCAAATTTTAGCAAAGAACCACCAAAAGAAGCAGAATAGGTTGCAAGTTCTTAAAACTTAATCCTGTTAATTCTTGGGGCAACTCTAATTGTAAACATCTTTATAACTGAGGAGGAAGTGAATGAATATCAGCTAAATCCATTTTATTTGAGACCAAAAAGAGATACTCTCATGTTCCTTTGTACTGAATGGAGAAGATAACAGCAAAAGATTATGATCATGCTCTCATCCCTCTACAAAAAAATTGTTCTTGAGGAAGCATTCTAATTGCTTATAGTCATATACCAGATCCAAGTTAAGTTCATCTTTGCTGAATAAGTTACAGAACTTACATGAATCATATTAGGGGAAAATGATATAGTTTCTAATATTTCCCATACTATAAATTAAGTTCAATTATGTTCCTAATCTCCTAAAACTGATTTCCCATCAAATGTCAGGAGCCAGAGCAACCTCAAAATATCTCTTTGAAATTCATAGTGTTAAGACTTAAGAGAACTAAAATTAAATAAAACGTCCTCCAATTTGAAGAAAAAGGCATGCTTAAAATTTAAGCAAATAAAAAGTAAATTAACATCTTAATGGTAAGAGAAATGCAAATAATAATAACAGTAAACTTCAAGAGACATGAAAATGCACACAAAAACACATAAAGATATAAAAGATAAAAACAGCATACCATAAGTGCTTCAGAAAGCCCTTCTGCGATTGCAGCATCACTGAAGCCACCACCAGAAAAAGGTAAGGCTGACAGCCATTGTAAGAATACATCAACATCTTTTGTCCAGGCACTGCGTTGCACTAAGCAACCTGCAATTGAACACCATCATTTTTCTTTTCAAAAAGGTTTTTTCCATCTCCTAGATACAACAAATATTAAACAAGGAAAACTTCCATAACATTTCTAAAAAAGATCAAGCAAACAACATACCACAATAAGATCCATGAGTGCTGAAGGAAACCAGATTAAACTCAACATTGGATGTAGAAGTTTTCTATACTTAAGAAAAACATTAAAATTAGTATAAACATAATGATGGCAACATATAAAAATCTAAAAATTCTAAGCTAACTAGATATGTATGATGCTATCAGCTACTGAAATGACCAATAAAAAAAAAGATTATAAAATACAAAAGGAAAATAAAACTTAAAGGAATTTCTCTAACCAAAATGCAAACTCATTTTTTCCATGAGTAAGTCTGCAGGTATGTATTGGATTGTCCATAAGTCATGTGATATGATAAATTTTTATTACACTCATGAAAGGTCTACACTTCTTCTAAATTATACATAAGCTTAAATAGCTTATGCAGAAACATGAGTGCCATAACCCGGTGACAGCCAACAATGCTCTAGTTCCCCACCCCTCAATTCAATTACAAAGAATTAAGGTAAAGGGAAGAAAGATGAGAAGAAAGGCATTATTACCTGGCCAGTTGATTCGGTACCCGCAAAAGTTCTGCACAATTTACAAGTACCAGATTCAATCAGACAAGAAAACATCAACACCTAAAGTATAATAACTAACACAAACAGAAAAACACCAATCCACGGCTAGAAAATCCAACTTATGATAAAATTGGTGTATGAGACTAGAATACTTCATTATATATCACAGACCTACCATTATAACCATATACTGAAAACCCAGAAATTCTAACATCTAAAAAATAATGGGACAAACTTGAATTCTGCAAAGGTAGGATTAAGAGGGCGTTGACGCGTAAATCCATGAAAACGAAGATCGAACAGGGATGGATAGGGCTACAGTTTACAGAAACGGAAAGAGATTTAAAAAAAAAAAAAATGAAGAGAGAATTTGGAGGAAGAAATTGAGAGACCTGACAATCTTTTCCAAGTAATCTGAAAGGATTGTTTTCCAGTAAGCACCTAGGGCTGCAGTGCCTTCCACAGAGACGATCAGTTGCTTCTGAGCCATGCCGATTGTTGTAATGGAAATTGGGGAAAATGGAGCTTTCGCGCTCCAGCGGGCTGGAGGAGAAGACAAGGAAAAAGATGGTAGTCTCCAACTTTTAAACTAGGACTAGGAAGAGATCAAATCAAGGGAAAGAAAAAAAATGGGGGAATGGTGATTTTTTTTTTTTTTTTTTGAGAATATATCTTTTTGGAAAAAAAAGGCAAAACTATATGTTAAGCCCCTGAACTAATTCTAGATTCACTATTGAGTTCTCAAACTTTAATTAATGCATATAAGCCCTTAAACTTCACCATCTAAGCAATTTAGTCCTTAGTAGTTAATTCTTTAACTACAATAAGAATAAGGGCTACATTAAAGTAAAAATAAAGATTAAATTGCTCACAACGTGGAATCTAAGGGCTTAGAGGTATTAATTAAAGTTTAAGAGTTTAATAGTAAATCTAGAATTAGTTTAGAAATTTAGCATATGGATTTACCTTGAGAAAATATCAACTTAGTTCTCCATAAAATACTGTTTTTTTTAATGTTAATAAAATATTGTAAATAAGTTTGGAAAATTTTATGCAAATTAAATTTCCTCACTAATTTGGGAAGTCTGACCAACAAAATCCAGAGATTAAATAATCGAATTCTGGGGTTAAAACTTAAAATTCCTTTTTCTTTTTTTTTTTTT